CCTGAAAATGTTAAATTAAAGGGGAGCACAAACGTCTTAGTAACCAAAGTTTAACCATGTAGATACAATCATTACCTAACTACTTTCATATTAGCTAGGCAAATAGATATTGCAACAGCTTAAATAATTGTTAGCAAAATATGTAACTAATTTAATAATATATCATGTTCATATGCAACGGATGCTTCCTCCCTTATTGCTCCATCCAACCTTATTCCGCTGACCGGAACCATAAGCTTATACATGGTCTGGCTCATACACTGGACTGACCAAAGCTACTCCAGTACTTAGGATATATCTGGCCAAAGATACAAAGCCCAAACCTAGACTATGGCTCCCCTCCTTAAAAGAACCAGGAGGTGTCACTGTCCCACATTCCCCCTCTACGAACCTGGCCAGGTAAGTATTAAGGAATGGGACTCTAAAAAGGCCAACCACTTTGCACTGAATGGAGGCAAACCACGTGGTCACAGTTTATCACATATATCAGTATCATAAACCCCCAAGTCCAACCGCCTATGTATGCCATGAATATGTAGCAAATGCTGTATATGCAAGCATGCTTGAAAGAAAACAATCTACCATAAATTTTCACAAAACAACCAAAACACATTCATGCTTGCAAGAAAATTCAAATAACACATAAGATAATATTATTATATCCTTTCACTTTTTTAGTCTTATTTATTTATTTGTACCAATTAAGTCGATAGAGTCAATAAAAATTTAATCATAATGGATAAAGATTGCACACACATGGAAAAACCTCAAGTTACCTGGTTTCTTCTAGCTCTCCAACAATCACAATCATAATTCCAATCAAGAAGGCTCTCGAAGAGAGTCTACAAAGTCAACATAATGAAATATTAATTTATAATTTTAGACAAAAAAAATTATATCCTATACTTATTTTAATGTTACATGAGAGTTACTCTAAAACTTCAAAGTTATCCTAGAGCCCACAATACATATTACTGATTTCTTCTAATTACCTTTTCATAAGTACTATTAAAATTTTACATTTCATAATAACTTATATGAAATCCTTACTGTATGTAAAGTTCAAAAATATATATATTTAGCCTTCATCCTACTAACCATTCGTAAATTACTATATATATTGCCGAATGTATTATAGATATATACATGCCTATATATAAAGGGTCGAGTACCGAATGTCTTATATACACACACACAAGTCTTATATATACATACATGCCTATATACACACACCCATTATTAGAAGGGAGAAGTACCGAAAAGGGTGATGATGTAAAGGGTGTGTGTGTGTGTTTTTGTATTTATTCCTATTTCCATCAAGCATATACATAAATATATACACACACATATAGTCATACAAAGAGGCAAAAAAATCTGAAAAGAAAACGCATGATACAAGAAAGAGGTTGAGGGAGGGGAAAAAAATCAATGAAGAAAGAAACATTAAGTTTTAAAACAGTAGTCAATGGTGTCACGCCATTCTCATCCTTTTTCCTATTAAAGTATATGTGTGTGTATTCATGAATAATAGTTGTCAAATGTGAGAAAGAAGAGAGAGATGAAAAAGAAAAAGAAAAGTCGGTACACACCTTAATAAATATATATAAGCTTAGAGATGATGATTACAAGAAGGCTTACGGTGGACTTGAATCTATTTTGATTTATGATGATGGAATGTTTAGAGCAGAAGGAGTAGTGCTTTTTGAAAAATCACTAGTCTACAGTAGTGGAAAAGCTAAAGAAGAAATTGAATGGCAGCTAAAGGATGAAGAAAAAGTGGGTAGGAAGTAGGGTTAAGTTATTATATTTTTAAAATTAATAAATCTTCACTTAATTAATTAATTACTTTATCTTATTGTTATTATTATTGAAATCTCATTATAACCGACTTATATGAAATCTCCCAGAATCATTCCAAAGTTTCTTTTTAAAGTTAAACTCAAATCTTTTTTTATATATATAATTATAAATGTATATATTTTATTAAAATTCATATAACAGATTCAAAATTTGAATTTCAATCTATTTCATATCATCATCATCATCCATCGTCATTTTTTTTTCTACTTTTATTTTTAAATACCTATACACTTATTTACAATTTTGTTTTATATTATTTGACTCTCTTTTAAATATCTTATTTTCTTGAATTTATTATTTTATATATATTTATCAAAGATTTAATCCAAACTTTCTATAAATAACTACTTATAAACCCAAATAAAATTTTGGGATGTTACAGTTCTCCTCTCCTAAATGAAATTTTATCCCCAAACTTTAGAGGTATCCAAATCAAAACAACCAATTACAAACAAAACAACACGTCAAACAATCACAACAAACATACAAATTAAACACATACCTAACAAACAAGTGGGGATGTTCTTGCTTCATCTTTTCTTCGATTTTCCAAGTAGCATCACTTGGAGTCATTCCCCTCTATACGACCTTAACAAGTCAGATGGTTTTGTTTCTTAATTGTTTATTTCAAAAATATTATAGTGCTGTTCTTAACTAAATCTTAACCCAACAATTTCTTTTTTTTTTCATACACAACTTTCATATTGTCAAAGGACATGTCAAAGAGACATATCCGCCAAAACTCAACATAGTATCTACTATAATCTACAGTCTCATGTGAAAACCAAGTCATCCGCCTCTGTCATACTCTCTACAGAACTCACTTAACCTCCTACGTCTTATTGTTCAATATTTTCATTGACATATTTAATTAAGATAAAATGGAAATCTTGATATTTGAAAAGAATTATCTTTTTTTTTAAACTCAACATATTGTTAAGATTTTGTTTGCATATTGAATGAAATGGAAATCTTTAGAAAGATGCATGAGCATTGAGTGAACTACTAGTCAAAATATAGTTCATGAAAATTTTCTATTTACAATGAAATCTGTGAAAAGCATAAGATTGTATCAAGAGTTATAGTTGCATTGCAAATCCTTTGAAACCAAATGCTTATCAGAGGAAACAAAAAAAAAAATTTTAATTCTTTCATCAGAAACAAAACTATTATAAGTGAAACGTGGCCTCATACCCTTTACTTAACCTATCTTTGGAAGATTAACTAATCATATATATATATATATATATATATAATTTTTAATTCCTTTGTCAGAAACAAAACTTTATAAGTGAAATGTGGCCTCATACCCTTTACCTAACTTGCCTTTTGAAGATTAACCGATCATATATATAAAGTTACACGTTTTAGACATCTTTATAGCTTGCCTCCCAAGCTAAAATTTTATTTTAAGTATTTCCCCCACTTTCACAAATATTATTCATAAATAATCCATTAATACTGCCTCTACCCGTCTTATTCTGTCCTTAATTTTTTTCACCAATCTCTCTAGTAAAATTTTGATTCCTTTTTCTAAGATTCTCTAACATTGACCTTATCACTTGCTTTTATACTTTGATGTTTATCCATACTATTATTATTAATACGAACAATGTTTGAGACAATTTTTTTTTCTGTTTTTTTTTTCTTCCTCTAAGGTTCACTTCTAATTACACTTTAAAAGTTAGCTAAGTTTTCCTCTATAAATGACTACTAGTTCATAATACAACCGCATATTTTAAAACCTTTTTTTCCCTAAAGAAGAAAACACTCACAGCAAATTTAGTTAATTATTTTAATGAACAAAAATTCCCCAATATATGACTAAGGAATACATAACACAACAAATTACACTCAATGTATCCTAAACCTTCAACAACCTGTGACATTCACAATCTCACTTCTTAATAATGGACACATCCATATAGTGATCCAATATCTATAACTCCTAAAAGTCAAGCTTAGGAATAACAACCACAATACTCCCAAAACAATCATAGGTACGAGGACATATGAAAAATAACTAGAAATTTCTCCTCGTACAATGCATAGGGTGTTGTGTGACTATATATGATTAGATTTTGAAATAAGTAAAGGATCTTTATAAGGTGTATTACATATTTGATTCAATTGGGATATGTTATTCTATTTGAATTCTTCGCCACTTCTTATTGAAACAATAGTGATATGTTTTTCTTGAAAACTTATACCTTTCTACGTATTTTTTAAAAATATAACATTTCTTTTATAAAATAAAATAATAAAAAAATAAGGCATATGTATATGGATTGTATTCATGGCCCCTCTTATTTCAAGAAATTCTCATGTCTCCCCACCCCAAAATATTCTTCTTTTACTTTGTATTTTTAAAAACTTGACTTCTTATATAAAATAAAATAATAAAAATGAGCCACACCTATATGGAGAGACAGCATATGCACATACAAATTTGGGTTATTTGGCCACAAAAAATATTATATTTGTATAAATTGAATGGATTGAATTATTAATAACCCACTGTAATTACATGAGAAACTGTATAAACTAATAATAATATAATAATGGGTCCCTGTTTACAATTTTTCTATTTCAAATATCTTTTTTTGTGATTTTTTCTTAATTTTATTCTAACACCATCAAGGCATCAACATCAAATTATCAAACTCTAATTTAAGATATTTGGTTCATAAGTGCAAGATTTAATACTAACTATTTACAATTTTGTTAATTATTTGAGTTTTAAGAAATTTGAAACTCATATTATGCCTCCTAATAGACAACTTGTAAAAATAAGTCTTTATATATACTAATATGCATCCTACGCAATTCATATTGGTCAATTTTTTCCTCTCCGTTTTTTTTTGTTGCAATATTGTAAATAATGTTTTTGTAAATAGCAAAAAAAAACACTATAACCTAATTTAGTGAAGGACAATTTCGTTGGCACACAAATTTTTTTTTTTTTTAACAGCTAAGGACCAATATCCTTATCATTTTCTAAACTCGCGTCCATAAGTGTCCTCAATTCCCATATTTGGTCCTTTACTGACAACTTCCCAAAATTTATATTTTATTTGTTAAATAATATAAATGTCACTTTCTCTCTCATATTATCATATAAATTTCTTCGTTTCAAAGTTCCTTCCAAGGTTCCACCCAAGGCTCCAAAGCTCCCTCCAATCTAAACCATATATCGGAGACAGAGACACAGAGAGAGAGAGAGAGAGAGAGAGAGAGAGAGAGAGAGAGAGAGAGAGGCATGTATGGCTGAACTTCAAAGGTCTGTGACATCTTTCAGAAGACAAGGCTCTTCAGGCTTGGTTTGGAACGACAAGTTCCTCTCCAATAACCAAAACAACCCTAATAACCACCACCAACAACCTCCTGATCCCCCGCCAACGCTCGATTGCAGCCGCTCCACCGGAGCACGGCCTTACCGGGCCGTCAACGTCTCCCTCCCTCCCAATGATCCGCCGTCCCCCAAAGTGCCTACCTGCGGACTTTGTGGCTTCTTCGGCAAACAAGCGGCTGTCGACCATCATCGCACCAGTTCAAAGCCTAAGAAACGTAGGTGATTATATATATATATATATATATAATATGTATGTGTATATATATGTATGAACAATCTGTTGAGGATTTGAGCAAGTAAATTTGAACTGTTTTTTTATCCTTATTTTGTTTCTGTTTCAGTTGTTTGTTTCGTTTTTGAAGTTCTTGTTAAAAATTTGTATGCCATAGAATTAGAATAACATATACATAATCAAGATTAATGAGATTCTTATGCATATTTTTGGCTCTGATGTTCTCTGTTGATCAAAACATGATATACATTTAGTTTATGGAAGATAATTATGCTTTTCAAAATGAAAATCACTTAATTTCAGGGCCTCGTTTAATTGTTCCTTTCTCATAAATGTCCATATATACATATGAAAGATTCTTTGATGACTAAATTGAAGAAAGCTTATAATGAAACACAGAGAAAGATTAGATTTAGGGCCATTGTAAAAGCAAAATATTAATAATAATAATAACTAGCCCAGACTTATTCCTATAATTAAGGTCCTGAACTTAAATCTTGTGTAAGGAAGAAAAATTTATCATTGGGAGAAAATTTCATACTTATGTAGCCTAACCTTGTTTGGCCTAGATAATTAGTAAGAACCCGATTTTTAAAAGCTTAATTAGTTAAGAGTTAATAAATTAATAAAAAAGACTTTGAATAATTCAAACGCATTTGCTAATAACCTAACCAAGTTAGTAGTATTTAATTTTAATCCCTCAGTTAACAAAAATGTTGAATTTTAAAAAAATGACATTATTAAGGTGCCGGCCTATGTATATAATAATGATTTGAGGACAAAAAAAAAAACTGTGTGTGTGTGTGTGTGTGTGTGCAGGGTACGTATAGTTGTTATCATTTTCATATTTTCTTGTTTCAATTTTGTGTTTGGTGAGTTTTAATTAAGGGAAAATTAAAGAGAAAATCTATATTAGTATGGTTGGTATGCCATAAAACAGCTATTACTGGAAAGGCAAAAAACGACCTTCATCTTTATAGTTTAAGACTAATTAATTATCTCTTTTTTAATTTCTCCTAAAGGATATTTATGACACACATACACATATATTTATTTTTGAAATTTTTAAGTTTACCAACATATACTCATTAAGTACTTCTTTTTTATAACGAGAAGTTTAAGTGACTTAAGTTTCCAAGGCAAAGCATGCCTCTAGGCTTAGATAGTTCTTACAAATATATATCAGTAATGAGATTCAAACTCTCAACTTTATGAATTATGGGTTGACTCCTTACTAACTAGACTAATTTTTGTTGGCACTCATTAAGTAATTTTTTACTCGAATGTTTTTATTTTTTTTTATCATATAACAACCTAGCTAGCAAAATTTCAGAAAAGACGCAATTTCGTTTTTCATTATCTTTCTCATTTGCCTTAAAAACTTTTCCATTGTATCAAATATGACCTAAGAGTTGGCATTTAATATGCAACAAATTAAACTAATTAGCTTCCTAGAGAATCAAGATTACCACAAATTAGGGAAGAGGCTTTCCTCTCCTTATGCATGACATGGAAAGAGGCTTTAATTTCCAGTTCCACCCCCACAAAGAAAATGAAAAATTATTCCAATAATACTAGTAATATTATTGGTTCTCTGAATAAATAATAAAACTGAGCAAATAAAAAATTCTAACACCAAAAAAATTGGAAATAATTAATGAGACTTGTTACAAATTAAAGAATAATCTGATTCTATCTGTGTTGCATCCAACACAAAATACGCCCTTTTGCTGATAAACCTGCAGGGCTTGTTTGGAGAGGAGGAGGCCAAGAGACAGTTGCTGATGGAATCTTAGAACATTGAGATTTAGCAAACTCAGAAAATGAAAGACAACTAAGTTATTCCTTAACAACATAATCCATATAAGTGAAGAGTCTGCGGAGTGAGAAATAAACCTTTTTTTAATCAATAATAAATTAGAAAACAACTGTGTCTGTTTTGTTTCAGGCTGGTTTTGGTGATTTCAATGTAAAACTAAACACCATTGAGAAGTACAATATTTATCATAAGGTATCTATTATCTCTATTGTATCATTATTTAATAATAAAAATTTTATTAATTTTTATTTAGAGAAACAATTTACATTTCTGATGCAACAATATCGGATTAGTTTTCCATTTTATTATTATTTCTAGGACATTTGGATTTATTTGGGCTTATCATTATTTTAGGATTTAGGATTAGTTGTCGTTGTTTCTAAAGCTGTTTTCGTTTTTATCATTATTTTTACCATAAATCAGAATACAGATTGCAGTTATTTTTTCTTCCTGCTTTCTTTCAATTTCTCTGTTTCTCTTTTCTCTCTGATTTCTTCCCTGCTTCTCCCGCATTCTACATCAATTTCTCAGCCGTAAAGTCTTTTTTTTTTCATTTTTTTTATGAGCTCATTCTATTCAACATATACAAACAGATCCATGCAAAAAAAGCAATACTCTCCAAACTATATAATTGTATCACATAACAAATCATAAAATTTAAAAGCAAATCTCATTTCGCCTATATAAGGCACCAAACTAATGGGCTAAAATGGTTTCAGAACCTCAATTATATTGAATGAGAAAAAAATGCCAAGAAAACCCAGGAGAAGAAAATAAAGCATATGTTCATAATAATAAAACAAGTTTCATTACATTATACGAATTTTCATGTACAGATATCTAAATACAACTGAGACTTTTTCCAGAATCAAAAGTCTATATGTGTTGAATATCCTGTATGATAAGATTATATATTTTATTCAACCTGAAACTTTCTTAACTTTGGTCTTGAACAGTAAAATATGCAATTTTTCCATTGAAAAATACAGGAAACACCCAGTTGAGTGCGTCACGAAAGAGCCAAAACTTGAGCCCACAATACAATGCCAAACCGGACCATACGCTTTGTCAAACTCCTGCACATGAACTTTATATTATTTAATACATGGTACATACTATGATTTATCAAATCAATAAAGAAGGAAACTATTTTACAAATCTTGCCGACCGGAAATAAATATATAAATTAAAAAAAAATCATGCTTCTGTTGTGCACATGGGGTGAGAGTTAAAAAAATAAAATGTATAGGATTAGTTTAGGGGCCTGATATGCTTCTTCTTGTTTTTTTTGCCCCCTAAGTGCAAATAATTAGCAACAACATTAGGGTCTTGAGGAGTTTAATGTTATTTTAACATCTGGTAAGATGGGGAATCTAATTAATGATTTGATTTTGACAATGGAATGGACAGTCTTAACTAAATTGGGTTGAAGAAATGGACGGTCAGGATTGAGAGATCTATTCTAGGTGGTTGACATAGATCAGTGAGCCATTGGACCAGTTCGAATGATCCTGACCAATACACAATAAAAGAAGAGAGAGAGAGAGAGAGAGAGAAAGGACATGGCAATTCATGACTGGTCTAGTTGTTCATTTGATTCTTCCGTGGGGTTCGACGAACAATACCCAATCATCCACGAAACAAAATTCCAAAAAGAAACAATAAGTAAATAATTATCAGTATAAGACACTTTTTCTGGCTTTCTTTGCACCACAATATGCTATGCAAGCTAGATGATATGCAGATTATATGAACATGCATAACTAACTGGGAAAAAAAATTTTGCAGACAGGCTCAATTTATACCTTGGATAATTATGCCATGTGAAACTATATAATTATGCCTGGAGTAGGTCTCTCTAATAAAAGATGAAGACATATTTAGTAGATTTATTTATGAATAATTTGGCCTACCAGTTTTTTAAATGCATGATATACAAGATAATTAATCTTTCCATCACTAGGCTGTTACCATGGGTTCTGTTTTAAGAGACCAAGGAACTGAGATTTTGACTGTTCCAGATGGAGAGGTAGGTGAATTTGAAGCATACCTTCTTTATGTTATGAGCGATATGTTTGGAGCTAAACGTCTCCAGGCTATCATATGTTCTCCTGGCACAGCGAAAGGCTTGCACTTGCATGAAGCTTGGCATGTCAGTCACTAAAACCTTCACCTGAAGATATGCAGTCACAGAGGACAGTGTTTCAATTTGGGACACTGACTTTCTCCCCTCAGATATCCCTCTTACTGCGAACAGATTTGTTTCGATGTGAGATACTGACTTTCTTCCTTCAACTATTACTCCTCCTGATTCCGATTCTGCAGATACTGACTTTCTTCCCTCCTCATATGCCCCTCCTGATCCCATCTCTAAGCAAGAAGTTGATTTTCTTGCCTCAACAAATCCACTTCCTGCTGCTGCCGCTAATCCTCTTTGGCCACCATTAATGCCTACATTCAAGCTTCGAGCTTTTGATATTCTAGTTAGCCAACCGAGTGAGTTGGATTTCTTCCCCGCCTCTATTACTCCAGAAGGCTGATCAAGCTCATTATTCTTCCTTGGATTCCCTTTCCCGCCTTTGTAAATGTACAAGAACCCTCTCTTCTGCTGGTTTGCCATTTCTCACAGAGTCTCTCTCTCCTCAAGGTCTGAAGGAGTAACAATGGATCCAATAAGAGCCAAGGCACACAGAAATACATACAAATGTATTGAAAAGGGAAGTGTTGGGAATCACTAGCACAGGGAAGACCCATTAGAATAATGTTTGTTAACAAGAAAGTGACATATTTATAAAGGCAAACCCATGTGTTGCTGCCTGTGATTGTGAGCAAAATAATACAACAAATGCTAACGCAGATTTCACCTATATATTTATATGTATCATTCTCAAGTGGGCTCTTCAGTAATGAACATGTAATAATGTAAAGCAAATTTTTTAATGAGAATTATCTTGATTACAGGTCTATTAATAGTCATCTCAGCTTACTTACAGATGGGTTAATGTTTAACTAAGAACTTCTCTGTTAGTTTTGATTCGAAGTTCAAAGCCCATGAATAGGCACTGTGGCGTGTAGGACTAATCATTGGCCCTCTGGGGCATATTTGTCTCCACATAAACTGCTTCTAGACAGCCAGCATACAGGGACCCCTACCTTCGCCACCGCCTATTTTGTTGGGCACCCTAATAAAAATGTCACTATCCTCTTTACTAGCATGTTCAATTTCCTTTTCTTTAATCAAACGGCCAGACCTAAAATAAGTTTTTTGGACACTACTCTCTCTCATGGTTTCTGGGTTAAACTGATGGTGACGATGATGATAACCATTAATGACCCTGTCAGGAGCTAATAGCAAGTATAGACGTTAGACATTTTGTTTTTGCGGTTCACTATTTTTGGCCCTTTGTGGTATGGCAAAATGTATATGCTTTTTGGCTTTTCCTATCATCCTCGTGGTTGTGGTAGCTTCACCTATTGCTGTCAATTAAATGAATGAAAGTGCACAATACAGCTAAGCTACTATAATAAACAGGATGAGGATAACATTTCAAACCAGTTGTGTGACTTACAATTTTTTGAATCATTTTCATTAACTATTCCTCCAGAGAGAAGAATCAAGAAAATAAAAGGAAAGCAGGGTTTGTCAGAGACAAACAAATTTAAAGGTCTCAGATACCTCAAAAAAATGAGTGATTCCCACATTCGACACATCAGTAACTAATTAGTATCCATACTCTAAAACATAAAGTAACATGGGCCGTACTATCGGCTCTGCAACTTTTCTTCTTCTTCACAAGCTGCAATTAGATACGTGTATGCATACATTATGCTATGCCGACATAAAAGAAAAAAAATTATAAGAATTCTCACAGCCCAATTCATATGCAGTACAATTCTTCAAGCTCCGCGATGCATAACAGATAGCACCCACCAAATTAAGTTGCCTAAACCATTCAGGCATACTCCATCTGAAAAAATGATGCACGCATCGACCAAAAGAAATTAATAAATCGAGAGGTTGGTGAAGGGAATTGCAACTTCAGAAGCTTAGAATATGCACAAAACGAAGGAAATTTGTACAATCCTTCTGGTCAAAGCTACTAACTCTTAATGATCTACGGTTACGATTACCTGTCTTCATCGAGGATCATCCATGGCAGACACAGATCTCGAGAAGAAAAACGCATAACCCCAGCGAAGTGGCATATCACGTGGGAATTACAACGTGCAAAAGAAAAAATGTTTTTTTTTTCCAAAAATCACAAATGAATGTGGCATAGATTGCGGAAAAGACATTGATGGAAAGTTGATTTTTGATTGCGGTTTCTCGTGTGATTTTGAACATTCATGTAAACTGCTAACCTTAACCATTTGGAGGGTTCTCACAGAGCAGAAAACGCTTAAGCTCAGGGAGTGAATAGAGCAATTGTGATTAAAGTCTGTGAACTGAGATAAAAGGTATTTGACAACCTTCAAATTATAGTTTCAGAAGCATTTTTTTCCAAAACGAGACAAATTCATTCACATATTTACTTCGTAAACTGTAAAAACACTTTTGAAACCATGATTTGGTTTCTATCCAAACACTCCCATAGTCAATGTCGATGATGGAAGAATGAAGCCACATGGCGGCTGCATCCACATTCCAGAGTGTGTTCGTCCATGATCATAAGATTTTGGACACGGATTGCATCATTCCGAGCTGGGAAGAAAATGAGCATTTTCATCAATTACGAAATTTGCAGCCCAAAATGTAGCTTTTTTTTTTTTTTGTAAATCTTCACACAAGATTATTTAATTAATATTAAAAAATAAATATTAAATGTATGAAACTGTTAAACCTTAAAAAAAAAAAATTCTTGAAAGGAAATATAGAGGTAGTGAAGGGAGAATAGAAAGACAAGAAAGAATTTCTTGTATTTTTAGTATCTTATTATAAATGGCATGCTCTAAGTTACAACTATAATCTTATATATTAGATGCCTCATCTATGTTAAAGAACAACTAGTAGATAATAAAGGCAATAAATATGAATGGGGTGATGAATTATCAGGATAACATTACTATGATTTTAAATTTTTAAAACCAATTTATCTAAAAAAAATTCTGAATGCCAGCGCTCTTAAGTTAAATTTTTTAAGACAAATTTAAACATATTCTACGTATTGATAAAATTTTCCTACCTCAACATAATGAATGTGAATCTTATATTACTCATAAAACAATAAGATAGGCTCCTTTGAAATTGCAAGATCATAGCTTATATCTATTTATGTCCATGTTGGGTTCAAAAAATCATAGGAAATGTGATATAATAAACCGATTGTTACAGAGCATTTGTTTAATATTCTATTAAGAAATTATGAAATGAAATTTACATTTTATCTTAACAAATAAAAAAATATGAAATGTTCTTTTTAACCCTATCAATGTTCAAAAATGAAAGTTATAAATATCTAATTGTTGATTCTTGGAGGATATAAATGGCCATATGTTCATTCATGTATGCTTGAATATAAATTACTCCTCCGGTCTTTAATATAGGACCCAATTCTTGAGTTGGTTTTGGTCCTAAATATAAGACCCATTTATCATATTTATCAGTTTTCTCTAAATTATCCCTATAGATACTCTCTCAACCATAATCAAGTAAAAGAGGGAGATGAGGTATTAAGAAAGATGATTGTAGTGTTTTAGGAAAAACGTATCATATTTCTTATAATTAACTAACTTACATAACTTTCTTAATCTAATCAAATTAGTTAAATGGATCTTATATTAAGGACCAGAGGAGTATATTACATATTTTTTTTGGGAGAAAATTATATTATATAGTTATATAGTCAAAATTATGTAATAGGAATTACTTTATTTGTTGTTATATGCTGTACATTGAATAATAACTTTACTAACCAAATATCTTAATAATAGCATTATTTGTTTTGCGAGACAGAATCTTATTTGAAGCATTATCGAATGCTAAATATAGGCACATTTTTCAGTAAAAAAGTCAAATATTAATTTATCATATTATAAGGGATTTTTTTTTTTTTTGGGTTAGACTCAACTTCTATTGATATCCTAACAATAGCGGTAAAATTGAAAATGCCTCTCTTTGGCCCAAAAAAACAAAAAGAATGTAAAATAGCTCTTAGCGGCCCTGAATGAATTTGCGCTTTTCACTGAATATGGGCCTCCAGAGAGGCATGTGGACCCATAAAGGTCAAGACCCAAAGGGCCAAGCCCCAAGTATAGCGTTGTTCTCTTGTGGAAAGATAATAAATTTGTGCCGCGTGCACCCTTTGGTCATTCCCCCTCCTTTTTCCAATCTTAAAAAAGCATTTGGGTAAAAATTAAACTATGATATGTGAAGTAAATATATAAAAGATTTTTGCATATGTCAAATACCTTCTAAATTTTAAACTAAAGTAAGCACAATTTCATAAGTATAGATATCCTTTCATTAGAGATAATCTTACTAGAAGTAGACACTAATGCTATGTTTGAATGGAGAGAAAATGAGAGAGACAAGAAAACTAGAAAGGAAAACGGGGAGAAAAGTAGTTTTTTCCTTGTTTGAATGAGGAAAGAAAAGTGGGAGAAAAGAAAAGTTGGAGAGAAAATAAGGTAGGTTCCATTTTCCTCCCAACTTTTCTCTCCATATATGGAGAGAAAATGAAAAGAAAACATGTTTTTTCTCTGTTATTATTATCAAGTCTTTCTTCTATGTTTGCTTAATTGAAAAATAAAATAACTAAGATTGAAAAAACCCTTCTAAAATGAACTAAAAGGAAAAACAAGTGGAGTAGTTGTTCTGGTTTTTTTTAGCATTATATTACACAAAATGTTTTTTTGTCCTTTTTTTACAAAATTATTTGATATTAAAATATAATAACATGATAATATATCTTTATCATCAAATAAGTTGATTTTAAATTATATGATTTGTTAATGTAAATATGGTTTTTCATTATGATATTTAATTTGGTTTTAATCAAGATATATTTTGATATAAAGTCATTCATATATTTATTCATTTTCTTTCTTTTCTATTTTCTCTTGTCCATCCTAACATGAGAGATGATAATATTTTCTCTCTAATTTTCTTTCCTCTCAACTTTTCTTCTCATCCAAATAGAGGGTAAGAGCCCCTTTGATATGAGGTAAAATGAGAGGAGGGGAAGGGAGGGAAAATGTTAATAAGCTTGATTTAAAAAATTAAAAAAATGAGGTCAAAAGCTTTTAATTAATTTTTATTACTCTTTTATATTACTTCTTCTTTTTATTAAAATTTCAAAACTCCACTTCTTTAATTTTTCAAATAGAGCTCATTAAAATTTTCCTTCCACTCCCCTCCTCTCCATTTCCCTCATACCAAATAGTATCTAAATGTGGGCTTCTATTGTAGTGAAAATTTGAATATTAGTTTATCATATTATAATACTCCTCCAATCCTTATTATAAGACCCCATTTGACTTTTTATTTGGTCCTAATTATAAGACCCCAATCCATTTTGTCTCTTATATTTATGCATTTTTTTCCAAGAAAATCCTTCTAATAATGATAGTTTTAGCCAATATACTTAATTAGCAAAGATATTTTAAGAATGACAACACTTATTTATTATAAATAACCAATTAACTTACTTCTTTAATCTCCTCAAATAAGTCAATTGGGTCTTATAATTAGGACCGGAGGAGTATATTAATTCTTTTCACCACATCCAATCCCTTACTCTTTCTTGGCAATAAATCATAAATTGTAATATATCCTATCATATATTCCCTTCAATTCAAAATATAAGATAAAATTAGTTTAGAACAATAAATATACAAGGCATGTACTTTTTTGACCCAAATATACTCTTATTAATGAAGAAAATAAGTGAAAAATACAATAAATGAATTAAACAGCCTCATTTAAAAAAGCCTCATCAAATATTTGATAAAAATAAATGTTATCTTATAAAAAAAATCTTCCAACAAAATTTATCTTATATTTTAAATTGGAGGGAGTATAATTTAAAAATAAAAACATTTTGTATCGATGGATTATAGAAATGCGCCGCTAACGACCCTTGGGGTCTGGTGGTGCCAACTCCGTTAATTGGGAGGGAGGTCATGGGATAAAACCCATGCCCCATGCACGCGCGTGTTCATTTAGCTCTTATCTATTGGTCCACTATTAATTTTCTGATCCCTTTGACCCTAACAGTTTGATTAATATACAGTGCTGGATTGAAATTTAAAATATTGACATAAAACCATGGAAAAAATATTAGTTAAGTTACTGCCTTCCCTGTCGCGGCACCACCGCACCAGAGCCCATAGTAGAGAAAAACGCCGTTGATAACAACAAGGCCACCATAAGGGGTGGGGGTTCAAAGAATCATTTGTTAGGTTTCAACCCTTTTATCGGCAAGAAAGCAACCAAAACGGTTGAACAAGAGCAAGCATGGGAGAGACCCATTGTTGCAGAAATATCCATGGACAAAGGCAAAGAAGACACAGCATAGGGAAGGGAAAATCTGACCAGCAACCAAGCCAGCAATAGCACCAAATGGACAAAGAGCTTTCTACCTCTATCATTCTGAACGCGCCACCACCAAACAGAGCCAACTGAAGCCATCTGAGGAATAGATTGAACAAAATCACCAACAACCTTCATAACCCCGAACCCTAAAACGCGAAACAGAGTGGCTAGAAGTAGATCTAAGAAAACCACCACCAGGTAAGAGCTGTTATAGAGACACCCCAAAGATTTTATTTCTGTGCTAATAAAAAGAAGCTCCATCAGCAAAACCAAACAAAAGACAAAAAAAAAAATACAACAAGAAACAAAACAAGAAAAACCAAAGCACGGACGTCCCCTCATCAAGTGGAAGCCAGAGAGGGAGACGCTGTGTACTCACACTCGCGCAAGACGAGATGCTCACACCCACCGTCCTGGAGAGAGAACTCGAGAGAGGGGAAGGCTCTTGTTGACAAAGACATTTTTTCATATGAATTTATGATTAAATAATATCAAATGTTAATATTTTAAAAATAAAACACATGATCGTATATAATTAAAAAACTTAACATAATAAATATAATGACGTGAGTATTATCCAAAATCGTTTGAATCTAAAAGCATATCTTTGTCTTTAATTTATCACTTCCCTTATATTTCTTCAACTTTTTACTACACATTGCTCCATGTAGTATGCAATGACAGAGATAAAAATAAAATAATACCTTCCTTCTGTTTTTAATATAAGATCCTGTTTGACTTTTATTTTGGTCTTAAATATAAGACCTAAATCTATTTTGCCTCTCATATTTATATATTTTTTTCTAAAATAGTTCTTCTAACAATGATAGTTCTAGTCAATACACTTGATTAGTAAGGATATTTTAAGAAAGACAAT